AGAGAGCCAGCGTGGTGTAGTGGTTAAGATGTCAGACTAGGATCTGGGAGACCCAGATTCAAATCCCCACTCAGCCATGGAGACCTGCTGGGCGACCTTGGGCCTGTCGCGCCCTCGCAGCCTAACCAACCTCACAGGGTTGTTGTGCAGATAAAAATGACGGAGAAAGGCAGGGTGTAAATAAAGAAGATAAAGTAATATAATAAAATAAGCGTTTCAGTCCAAACAGGATGCTTATACAAAGTGGGTCATTAAGGAATATTAGAAGAGGAGAGAAGAGATTGGATTTATACCCCGCCCTTCACTACCCAAAGAAGTCTCAGAAAGGATTACGGTCTCCATCCCATCCCCTCCCCACAACAGACACCCTGTGAGGTAGGCAGGGCTTAGGGAAATCTTCCGGCTGAGAGAACTCTTCCGAGGACTGCTCCTGAGAGAACAGCTCCGAGAGAACTTGTGACTGACCCAAGGTCCCACCAGCAGCTGCATGCGGAGGAGTAGGGAATCAAACCCAGTCCTCCCAGATTAGAGTTAGTGCTCTTTAACTACTACACCCAACTGGTGTTCTGGACAATAGGTTCATGCCCTTTCACCCCAGTCGTCACAAGATCTTGTGTTTCATGTAGTGATTCAGTGCGCGGACTCTAATCTGGGAGGACCGGGTTTGATTCCCCCATTCCTCCACTCGCAGCTGCTGGATGACCTTGGGCGAGCCATAGTTCTGACACGAGCTGTTCTCTCGAGGATAGTTTTGGAAAGAGCTCTCTCAGCCCCACCGACCTGTCTGTTGTGGGGAGGGGAAGGGAAAGGAGTTTGTAAGCCGCTCTGAGTGAAGGGCAGGGTATAAATCCAAGCTCTTCTTCTTATGATTATTATTAATCGAGAGAAGCCAGCACAATGGATACTCCCTCGGCTCAGGAGACGAACTGCCATGCTGCTGAGTTCTTCTCTGGCTCGGACAGCAAACGTTTCCCAGGGAAGAATTCCCTCTCCCGCCCCTCCGTGTTGTTTCTGCCGTGCTGAAGAAGATCACGGGTACTGGAAGGAGAGGAAAATCCTCGCTGCACGGTCCCGCTAGCTTTATTTTCTCTGTTTCCTCCCACACGCACACCCCTCCCCCTGTGCATTCTGGAAACGGTGGTTCCAAGAATGCCTTGCCGGTCAGCCCTCGGGAGTTCTAGGAACTGCAGTTCTCAGCAACCTCTGGGGAGGGGGGGAGGAAACGAAGGGATAAGGACAGATGGGGGAGAGCCAGAGAAAGCATGTCGGTCTCTTGCTACAGCATGCTACAGCAGTGGTGCTCACAGGGCTCCATAGCTTAGAGGGAGCATTGGTGCTCAACCAGGGCTCTTTTTGTAGAAAAAGCCCAGCAGGAACTCATTAGCATAATAGGCCACACCCAACAGCAGAAACGTACTAGCCTATTAGGCCACACCCCTGACAGCACAGCTCATTAGCCTGTTAGGCCACACCCCCATGTTACCAGAAGTGTGCTTATTCAGCCACACCCACCTTTTGCTTCTTATTCTGTTTACTTTGTTGTCAAAACTCAGGGCTTTTTTTGTAGCGGGAACTTCTTTGCATGTTAGGCCACACACCCCTAATGTAGCCAATCCGAATGAGTTTCTGCTGTTGGGTGTGGCCTATTATGCTAATGAGTTCCTGCTGGACGTGGCCAACTCGGGAGCCAGCCGGAACTCCGTTCCTGTGCGTTCCTGCCCAAAAATAGCCCTGACTCACCCTATGTTTCAGGAAAGCGGGTCATCTCCTTGCTCGGTGGGGGTACCGTGGCTGGCAGCCGGTTCCTACTTTGAAACAGCTGTGGCTGGAGGAATGGGTGAGCGGTCCAGGGATGGCCCATAGTTACGGTGGGGCTGTTCGGGGCTCTGCCCCCTTTCTGAAAGTGGCAGCCCCCACCCACCCAGATCTTCCCTTGGAAATCCGTTGAAAAGATATTTTAGAACTTTTTTTTAAAAAAAGGCACGCACCAGCAGCAAAGGAAAAATTGCCCCTTAATACTCCTTGAGATGTTTTTTCTCTGTAATGCCTTACGACAATCTCGAGACTGTTTTTGATTCTGTATGCTGTTTGATGGGTCTTTGACTGTAATAAACTGATTGATTGATTGCCCCAGAAGTCACAACATCCTGGCTACAGGCCTCGGTGGAAGTCAGTGTGGCTGTTTTGGTTGGTGGTAACTGAAAAGACGGCTCTCCGTGACCCACAGAGGGAGTGCCATTGGGCTACAGCCTTGGTTCCCTCCCCACCCTCAATCCAGTGTGTGCAGGGCCCCAGTCTGTCACCTAGAGTTGCCAACCTCCAGGTGAGTCCTGGGGTTCTCCCAGCATTACAACTGATCTCCAGACAAGCAGAAATCTGCTTCCTACTCAGACTCCGCCCACTGTGGGCTCTGTCCCAAAATCCCCAGGAGTTTCTCCACCCAAAGTTGGCAACCCTACAGTTCCATCCCAAAATCGATGACGGTGTGTGATTGGGGAAGGGCAGTGGAAGATCCTCACGCTGGCTTTTGTGTTGGTCCACCATAATAATTCTTTTTAATGAATGGCATGACATGTTAAAGCTCGCATTCTGTAGCACAGTGGTAGAGACTCTGCTTGGCATGCAGGAGGTCCCAGGTTCAATCCCCAGCATCTCCAGTTGGAAGGACCAGGTTAGTTGGTGATATGAAAAACCTTAGCCTGAGACTCTGGCGGAGTGGCAGAAAGTCTTCCTTGCAAGCAGAAGGTACTGGGTTCAGTCTCTAGGATCTCCAGTCAGCCAGTTTGGTGTAGTGGTTAAGAGCGGCGAACTCTAATCTGGAGAACTGGGTTCGATTCCCCACTTCCCCATTTGAAGCCAGCTGGGTGACCTTAGGCAAGTCGCAGGACCTTCCGCCAAAATATAAGCATACCTCACCACCTAGTGGTGCCAAAAGTGAGCTACAGCTTTCAGCAGCCAAACAATCCCTTCCGGGATCTCCTGGCTATTCCACACACAATGCCATATGATAATTAACTTAATTAATTAATGTGTCTCTAGTTAAAAGGACCAGGCATTAGGTAATGTGAAAGACCTCTGCCTGAGACCCCGGAGAGCTGCTGCCAGCCTGAGTATAAAAGACTGACCTTGATGGACTGAGGTCTGATTCAGTACAAGACAGTTTCACACGTGGCTCAGTGGTAGAGCATCTGCTTGGCACGCAGGAAGTCCCAGGTTCAATCCCCAGCATCTCCAGTTAAAAGGACCAGGCAGGAGGGGATGTGAAAGACCTCTGCCTGAGACCCCGGAGAGCTGCTGCCAGTCTGAGTATACAAGACTGACCTTGATGGACTGAGGTCTGATTCAGTACAAGACAGTTTCACACGTGGCTCAGTGGTAGAGCATCTGCTTGGCACGCAGGAAGTCCCAGGTTCAATCCCCAGCATCTCCAGTTAAAAGGACCAGGCAGGAGGGGATGTGAAAGACCTCTGCCTGAGACCCCGGAGAGCTGCTGCCAGTCTGAGTATACAAGACTGACCTTGATGGACTGAGGTCTGATTCAGTACAAGACAGTTTCACACGTGGCTCAGTGGTAGAGCATCTGCTTGGCACGCAGGAAGTCCCAGGTTCAATCCCCAGCATCTCCAGTTAAAAGGACCAGGCAGGAGGGGATGTGAAAGACCTCTGCCTGAGACCCTGGAGAGTCGCTGCCAGCCTGAGTAGGCAATACTGTCCTTGATGGACCGAGGGTCTGATTCAGTACAAGACAGCTCCACGTGTGTTTATCAGCATAAATAGTAAAAATTGAACAATCATATAAAACACATTTAAAATATATTTAGAGTCCAGTTAGGCACCTTTAAGACCAACCTTATACAAAGGTTATCAAATAAAGTGTCCATGCATATAAAAGCTCACACCTTGAATAAACCTTGGTTGGTCTTAAAGGTGCCCTTGGACCCTAAATTTGTTGTACTGCTTCAGACCAACACGGCTGGCCAACTGGATCTGTATTTAGAATATATTGGTAAACATGAGATAATTCTCAAGTCAGCCCTGGCACTAAAAATCACCCCTTAACACAACTTCAAGCCCAGGAAGGACAGAGGACACCATCCGAGCAGCAGAAAAATTAAGGCCCCATTCACACGCCAAATTTGCTGCGGGAGAGCCACACTGGGGGGATTTTCAGGGCGCGATCACACCACAACATCTGGCAAGCGTAGTGCACCCGTGGCCAACCCGCCGAAGCTGTGCAGTTAAAAACTATCTCAACAAATGTACTAGCAAATGGTTTGCCACGGCTGCCGACGGAATCGTTCCGTGTGATCGCGCTTTCCCCCGGCTGTCCTCCTTGACGCGCACGTGCTGACGGACGAAACCGCGGTGTGCCGCTGTCGCATCTGATCGCGTTCTGGCGGGACTAATTACACTGGCGCAAAGAGCCACGCCTCCCCTCCCCTGTTATCTGGCCCATGTGACCGGGGCCTAAATCAACCAAAATTGCTGTTACTTTTAATTCTTCAAAAAGTTCTGTCTTGGCGTATGGCTTACAGGCTGTTAAACCTGAACACAGAGAAAGACAAGATCAATCTCAAGTTCAGCAACTCTCCCACATTGTGACTTCAGCACCAGCCGTGCTGAGCAAAGGCAGGATTTGATTTCCAAAGTCTCCTTGAAATAGGGCTGGCTCGTGGGCCCTTTGCCATTCCACGCGTCTTAGAAGGTGGTCAAAACCCACCGGCAGCAAATTTCTCCTGAGCTTAGGCGTGTTCACTGTAATTTCTCCTGATGGACTCACTCGTGTGCAAAGGGCAGCAGAATCATTTCCCAGCCCAGCCTTCTAGCTTCCGAGTACATTCTTTGCTCCTTTGGAATGGACAATAATCACGTTTTCCTGCGTTGCCGTAGTCTCTGGTCTCCCCCTGTTGGCCACAGGAGAAGAAAGACTGAAGAGTCTGGGACTTTTCTGTCTAGAAAAGAGATGACTAAGGAAGGACATGAGAGAGGTTTATAAAATTATACGTAGCGTGGAAAGAGTTGGCAAAGGGTAGGTTTTTCTCCCTCTCCCAAAAATACTAACTCGACGGCATCTGGCGAAGCTGATGGGCAGGTAGTTTTGGATGGAGAAAAGGGAATACAACTTGACACAGAGAGTGATGAAAATGTGGTATTCACTGCCAAGGGATATAGGAATAAATAGCTTCAACAGGGGGATTGGATAGATTCATGGATCAATGGCTACTAGCCATGGTGACTGAGGGGAACCTCACATTCAGAGGCACTGATCCTCTGAATCCCAGAGCCAGGAGGCAACCTCAGGAGAAGGCCTCGGCCTCTATGTCCTGTTGTTGGCCCTCCAGAGGAACTGTTTGGCCACTGTGTGAGACAGGATGCTGGACTAGAGGGACCACTGGTCTGATCCAGCAGGGCTCTTCTGATGTCTTATGAAGGCCTTGGCCTCTTGGCCCTGGTGTTGGACCTCTAGAGGAACTGGTTGGCCCCTGTGTGAGGCAGGATGCTTTACTAGATGGACCAGTGATCTGATCCAGCAGGGCTCTTCTGATGTCTTATGAAGGCCTTGGCTTCTTGGCCCTGGTGTTGGACCTCTAGAGGAACTGGCTGGCCACTGTGTGAGGCAGGAAGCTGGACGATGGACCAGTGGTCTGATCCAGCAGGGCTCTTCTGATGTCTTATGAAGGCCTTGGCCTCTTGGCCCTGGTGTTGGACCTCTAGAGGAACTGGCTGGCCCCTGTGTGAGACTGGATGCTGGACTAGATGGACCTTCACTGGTCTGATCCAGCAGGGCTCTTCTGATGTTCTTAAGGTTTTAGAGAATAGACCTCTGCTCCATGAATCTGTCTACCACATATGCTTGGGGCCATCCCTACATCCACTGGTAGTGAACTCCCCAGTTTCGTTGCTCGTTGAGTAAAGTACTTCCTTTTGTGTCTCCTGACTCTATTTCCCAACAATTTTATTGGCTGCCCTCTGCCTTATGGGAGAGGGAGAGAAAACCCCCTGTATTCATTTTCTGCGTTCCGTGTATACTTCTATAAACCTTGTGCATGAGAGAGCCGTGTTTGTTATTGGGCCCAAGCTGCCTTGCAGACTCCTAGCTTATTATAATTACTTTTAAATTCACAAATGCCACAGATGTTTTCAAATCAGCATGCTAAACGTGTTGTGTCTCTGCCTTATGGCTGATAAAAGCAGGGCCAAGGCCGATGGTGCAAAATCAGGTAGAATATATGTACTTAATTACGCAATTAAATTTCCAAAAACTCCCTACGTGTTTCGCCAACAGTCTTTGTTGGGGGTATCTGTTCCATCTTGCAGTAGTTCTTCAAAAAGAGTTTAAAAATCAGTAGGGTCTTGTGGTTGCCAGCCTCCAGGTGGGGCCTGGAGATTTCCCAGAATGTCCTGGAGAATATGGCTGATTTGAAGGGTGGGCTCTATGGAATTATACCCAACTGTGGAGGAGGAGGAAGAGGAGATTGGATTTATACCCAACCCTTCACTACCCGAAGGAGTCTCAGAGTGGTTTACAATCTCCTTCCCCTCCCCACAACAGACACCCTCTGAGGTTGGTGGGGCTGAGAGAGCTCTCTTGAGAACTGCTCCTGAGAGAACAACTCTGAAATAACTTGTGACTGACCCAAGGTCACACCAGCAGCTACGAGTGGAGGAGTGGGGAATCAAACTCGGTTCTCCCAGATTATAGTCCACACTCCTAACCACTACACCAAGCTGGCTCTCAGTTTGTGCTCTGTTCTCTCCCCAAATCCCATGCTCCCCACAGCTCCACCCCCTCCCCCTCCCAAATCTCCAGCAACTTCCCATCCCAGAATTGGCAACCCTGTGCTACTTTGAGGAGCCAACAGTCTGAATTTATGTTGAGTTGGAGACAAATGGGGGCAAGGAATGCAGGGGGAAAATCAAGTGAATTCATCACCAGTACAGTTCTGGTTACCAACGTGGAATATATTCTGTCCCACCACTGCAACCATATCGACACCTGTTTCTCACCTTCGGTGTGTTTTTCTTCTTCTTTTTTCCCTTTTCCAAACCCTCCCTCCGTGCCTGTCCCCCAGGGAGCCTTCCCAGCTCGTCTCAAAAAGGTCTTTATTGTCGGCGCCCCGATGTGGTTCCGAGTCCCTTATTCCATCATCAGCTTGCTGCTGAAAGAAAAGCTCCGAGAACGGGTGAGTGGAAGGCGTTTGGCTTTGTGGGGTCTTCTTGTCCTCCCTCCGGGATACAGGCCTGCGTTTGCTCCTTTGCTCAGTTGAAAGCAGGGGCAAACGTTCTCTCTGTTCCGCTGGAATGCTTCACGTCGATGTTCCCAGCCAGAGGCAAAATCCTGTATGAATCGAGTGCGTTCTTTCACACACTCCCCAGAATCCTCTGAGTGGGTGGTGAAGGGCTATGACACCGTGGAAGAGCTTCTGATTGGCATGCAGAAGGTCCCAGGTTTCATGCCCGGCATCTCTAGCTAAAAGGGCCAGGTAATAGGAGATGTGAAAGATCTCTGCCTGAGACCCTGCCGGTCTGAGTAGACAGTACTGACTTTGATGGATCAAGGGTCTGATTTAGGGCGCTTTCACACATGCTGAATAATGCAATTTCAGCCCACATCCTCGACTGTTTGCAAGTGGATTTTGCCATTTCACACAGTAAAGGTAAAGGGTAAAGGTTCCCTTGTTCAAAAAAGCAGAAACCAAGGGGGAAAAAAACCTGAACCTAACAATAAACTCCAAAACCAAACAAAGGTTAGTGAAAAGGAGGGCCAATATTAAAACCTTTCCATAAAAAATAAAAAGAGGTACATGTATTTATTAATAATAACAAATTTTAAAACATATATAGAGGCCCATTTGCAACCAATGTATATAAAATATAATATATAACAATATCTCAACAAAGTTGACCTTACGCGTTTCGGCCAAATAGGCCTTCTTCAGAGGTCATACATAAGTGGCGAGATAATTATATTTACATAAGCACAATCAATAATATATACAAAGTATAAATTCAATCAGGACCATAAAGCAGATTGTTCAAAAGTAAAATCACCAGGCACAAGGTAAATATGCACATAAGGCCTTTAAAGTGCAATCACTAGCCCAGTGATTATAAATTTGTGGTCCAAAAATGTCCTTCTTTGATTGTGTTGTGTTGCCACAGCATTCATAAGTAAAAAGCAGTGACAAAAGCCAGTCGAGTCCGACTCTAGGGTTGCAGTGCTCATCTCCGTTTCAAAGCCAAAGAGCCAGCACTGTCCGGAGACGTTTCCGTGGTCATGTGGCTGGCATGACTAAACACCAAGGTGCACAGAATGCTGTTACCTTCCCACCAAATGCTGTTACCTTCCCATCTACTTGCAATTTCTTGCTTTCGAACTGCTAGGTTGGCAGGAGCTGGAACTAGAGATTAAAAACCTATAAAACATTAAAATTCTACAAGCCAGTTTAATTCTACTTGCAATTTCTTGCTTTCTTGCTTTCGAACTGCTGGGTTGGCAGGAGCTGGAACTAGAGACAGGAGCTCACTCCGTCATGCGGCACACTCGGGTCTTGAACTGCTGAACTACCGACCTTCCACAGCCTGCAGTTCAGCGTCTTAACCACTTGAGCAGCTCCACTCACACAGTAAAATCCAGTTGCAAAGGGCATTGAAAGTGGATTGAAGGCGCGTTAGTGTGTATGAAAAGACCTTGGTGTTAGGCAGGTTCGTTGGGTTCGTGGCAGGCAAGAGCCCCGTATCCAGAAAATATACTTGGTTTGAATTACCCAGAAGTTAGGAGCTGCGGTGGCTCAAGTGGTTAAGATGCTGAACTGCAGGCTGTGGAAGGTCAGTAGTTCAGCAGTTCGAGACCCGGGTGCCGCATGATGGAGTGAGCTGACCGCTCAAGGCCTTAAAGGTCAATACCAACACCTTGAACCTGACTTGGTCTTCCACTGGACTTGCACCCTGTCAGTTTAGCCAACACTTCCATTTCCCATGACTCAACCTGCCACTTTCGTTTCCAAGATTCCCAACACCTTCCCTGTATTACCTTGACCCCAACGATCCTGTGTTCAAATTCATTTCCCATCCCAAGCTAGCCTGATCCCGTCAGATCTCAGAAGCTAAGCAGGGTCGGCCTTGGCTAGTATTTGGAAGGGCGACCACCAAGGAATACCAGGGTCCTGACGCAGAGGCAAGCAATGACAAACTACCTCTGAAACGTCTCTTGCCTTAAAAACAAGTCTAGCTCACCACCTAGTGGTGGAACACTCTGCCAAATGACATCAGGGCCCTGCGGGATCTTACGCAATTCTGCAGGGCCTGTAAGGCAGAGATGTTCCACCAGGCTTTTGGTTGACGGCAGTGACAGTTCCCTTATTGGCTGGCACCATTGTTCCCTGTAAGCTCAGTTAGTGTGAGCTAGCTCGCATTTTTTTGGCCTCCGGCTCACACATTTTCCCCTTAGCTCAGGAAGGATGGCTCCAGAGCAAACTGATCTATGCAGTAGCCAAATCACTCCCTCACGACTTGAATGCCAGTAGTTCACAAAGTCGAATTTTTGCTCACAAGACTCCACAGCTTAGAGGGAGCGTTGGCTGACACCCTTCCCCCCTTTTTTCCTTCCTTTGAGCCCCCCCACCCCCGAAAAAAGGGCTGGTAGCCCAGGATTGGTACAAATAATATCAGGGGTCGTTTGGGGCCGGAGCGCACCGGAGCGCTACTCCGGCAGCCCCGGTGGTGGCAAGCCCCGCCCCCAGCTGCCCGCCCCCAAACTCCTGCAGTCTGTGGCACAATTTCTCCATTGTATTCTATGGCCCCATAGAATAGAATGGAGAGATCGTGCCGCCATTGCGGCTGGGGAAGGGGAGGCTTTTGAAGATAGGGGTTTAAACTTCAAACTTGAAAGGCGGGCTGGGGGGGGGTATGAAGAGAGAAGGGGTTTAAAGTGCTGGGGAAGGGAAGGGGAGGCTTTTGAAGATGCCTCCCCCTCTTTTGCTTCCCCTTCTGACATCACTTCCAGTGATGTCGGTGTGTGTGTGTGGCATATGCCAATGAGCTATTATGCTAATAGCTTATTAGGTATGCTAATGAGCTCCTGCAGCGCTTTTTCTATGAAATGACCCCTGAATAATATTACAGGGAAATGGCCATCTTGGATTTTTTTTCCCCCTGTATTGAAATTTTTATTAAGTTATAGATTGCATTTTTAATGTTCCGTATATTTTATGACATTATATCTTCTACATCGCCGAGAGCCCGGCGTAAGCTGGGATAGGGCGATAAATACATCACTGAGATAAATACATATGCTGGGATAGGGCGATAAATACATCTAATAAATAACAACAACAACACTAAAAGAAGTGTAACGTCTCGCTGCCAGACAATCTTAGGATCTCCTGGCTATGCTACACACAATGCCATATGATAATGATAATACTCCCATTCCGCCAAGTCTCTTTGTGCAAGTCCTGGTTTCCTTTGTTTGATATTTCTCTCTGTCTTTCTCTCTCTGTCTCTCTCTCTCTCTGCGGTCCGTCCTCAGGTCCAGATGGTGAAGATGTCAGAACTGAAGCAACACCTCCCTCAAGAATGTCTCCCTGAGTACCTGGGCGGGTCCCTCAAGCTAGACCCCCTCAGCTTGAACTGCAGGTTCCTTCCGCAGCAGAACGGTCACCCGGACCCTCTGGACGAGCTGATCCTGGTGCCGCTGGCCGCCCCTCGCGACAACGGCTCCGTGCACGTGCCCGGGCCCAAGGCCCTGACCGTCCAGGAACTGCTGGAGCACGTGACCCAGAAGCAGAAACGGGGCATCTACGAAGAATATGAAGGCATCCGGCGCCGGAACCCGGCCGGCACGTTCGTCTGCTCCTTGTAAGTGATCGTAAGGAGGGCCCTGCTGGACTGGACCAAAGGTCCGTCTAGTCCAGTATCCTGTTTCCCACAGTGGATACCCCCAGAGGCTCACAGCCAGGGGCACAAAGCCCCCGTCTTGCTGCTGCTTCCCAGAAACTGGCATTTCACAGGTATACTGTGTCCGAACATGCAGGTTTCATTCATTCCTCATGGCCAAACGGCCATGAATTGACCTTTCCTCTGGGAATTCGCCTTGTACTTCTTTACACAGAGAGTGATTAAAATGTGGAATTTGTTGCCAGAGGACGTAGTGATGGCCACAGGAATAAGCAGCTTCAGAAAGGGATTAGATAGATTCATGGAGGATAAGTCTATCGATAGCTACTAGCTGTGGTGACCGAGTGGAACTTCCACATTCAGAGGCAATAAACCTCTGAATCCTAGAGCCAAGAGGCAACGTCAGCATAAGGTCTTGGCCTTTATGCCCGGTCATTGGCCCTCCAGAGGAACTGGTTCGCCACTGTGTGAGACAGGATGCTGGACTAGATGGACCGCTGGTCTGATCCAGCAGGGCTCTTCTGATGTTCTTATGAAGGCCTTGGCCTCTGTGCCCTGTTGTTGGCCCTCCAGAGGAACTGGTTGGCCACTGTGTAAGACAGGATGCTGGACTAGATGGACATAAGAACATAAGAACATAAGAGATGCCAATGTTGGATCAGGCCAAAGGCCCATCCAGTCCAACACTCTGTATCACACAGTGGCCAGAAATACCAGTGCCATCAGGAGGTCCACCAGTGGGGCCAGGACATTAGAAGCCATCCCACTGTTGACCCCCCCAAGCACCAAGATGACAGAGCATCACTTGCCCCAGAGTCCCTATCTATACCTTGTGGCTAATAGCCACTGATGGACCTCTGCTCCATATGCTTATCTAATTCCCTTTTGAAGCCGTCCATGCTTGTAGCCGCCACCACTTCCTGTGGCAGTGAATTCCAAGTGTTAATCACTCTTTGGGTGAAGAAGTACTTCCTTTTATCTGTTCTAACCCGACCGCTCAGCAATTTCATGGAGTGCCCACGAGTTCTTGTATTGTGAGAAAGGGAGAAAAGTACCTCTTTCTCTACCTGCTCTTTCCCATGCATTATGAAAAGCCCCCTAGGAGAGCAGTCATCATTGTATCTTGTTGCAATGAGTCCCACAAGTTTAATTCCATGCTGTGTGTGGAAGTCTGTCTTTTTGTCTGTCTGGCGTCTGCTGCCTGTCTGACTGCCCTTAAATTCTGGTATTTGTGGAGAAGGAGAAAAGAGCTCTCTCTGTCCATAGTCTCTCCACTCCGTGCATAATTTTAGAAACCTCTGTCATGTCCCCCCTTAGGCATCCGTTTTCTAAAGTGAAAAGTCCCAGAGAACCTTTCACTTTTCCTTGTTAGGAAAGTGCTCCAGTTTCAAATGTCCTGGTTTTAAGAATTGTAGAGGCACAGAGGGATCATGATTCCCCGGAGGCTTGGTTTTCGGCTCTCTCCATGGGATTTCCTGGAGGTGAATGGTCGTTTGTGTTTTCCGTAGTTCAGGACAGGAAAATGAAGGAGCCAGCAATTAAGAATAAGTAATACAAAAGATACAAAAGATCAAACCATGCGTAAATAACAAAAAATATACTCAGCATTCAATAAGTATAATAAAAACCTATGTAGTTTTTCAAAAATACAATATAGTAGTCAGAAACCTAAAAATACACGGTCCAAATACAGAAATAGTCTTCTTAATCCACCTTCATAAATAGTCCGAGTCAAATTCCTCAAACAGTGAAAATATATCCAAATATAGAAAATATCCAAATATGGGGAAAATATAAATAGAAAATAAATAAATATAGAAATAGAAAAAATAAAAATATATCCAAATATCCACAAATCCAAATATAGATGTTTATAATCCCTCTTCACAAAATCCTCGCCTCGCCGCTTGTGTATCCACTTCACGGCCCCGCCGGCTTCAAGTTGCCGTATCGCCTTCCTTTCTCAAAAGGGGAACACCAAAACTGCCCAGCTCCAGTGTTGGATAATACACAGCCTCTTTTTCATTCCTAATATACATAAGACCAATTACTGTGATGTTTCACATTTCGGGTTTCTTATCACTTGGACTCCTTATCGCTAGTAATTAAGAACAGGCAAGAGCTGTAAATTCACCTTCCCGAGAATCTTGTCTTTCATTTTAAAAGGAGACAGCCCCAAATCTTTAGGTCTTATGATAGCAAACATATACTCGGAAGTACATGGAATAATGCCTGGTGAACTCCATGGCTAGAAAGGTTGGTTAAATTTGTGTTAGATTTTTGTCACGTCCTTGTTCGAAGGAGCTCAGTATATGTGGCTCTTCTCCTTTCTCCTTTTATCCTTTCAACAACCTTCCAGGGCTCTTTTTGTAGCAGAACTCCTTTCCATATTAGGCGACACACCCCTAAGGTAGCCAATCCTCCAAGAGCTTACAGAGCTCTTCTCACAGGGGCTACTGTAAGCTCTTGGAGGACTGGCTACCTTAGGGGTGTGTCGCCTGATATGCAAAGGACTTCCTGCTACAAAAAGAGCCCTGCTTACGGCGTAGGTTTAATGGGGAACAAGTATGCCTGGAATAAGGTCAGCCCGACAAGCTTCCAGGCTGAGTGGAGATTTGAACCCGACTCCCCACGGTCTTGCTCCAGCGCTTCAACTCCTGTATCCACACTGGATCTCTACACAAGATTCCTGTCGGTCAAAAACAAGGCTGCACCATATTGAGCTGCCGTTCCACGTGACCAGGTTAAATACTATGCTCTGGTTAGACCTCACCTAGAGTATTGTGTCTGGGCACCACCATTTAAGAAGGATCTAGACAAGCTGGAACATGTCCAGAGGAGGGCAACGGAGACGATGAGGGGTCTGGAGACCAAGTACTATGAGGAAAGGCTGAAGGAGCTGGGTATGTTTAGCCTGGAGAGGAGACGACTGAGAGGTGGTACGATAACCGTCTTCAAGAACCTGTCCTATAGAGGATGGTGCGGAGTTCTTTCCTGTTGCCCCAAAAGGTCGGACCAGAACCAAGGGGTTGAAATTAAATCAGAAGAGTTTTCGGCTAAACATTAGGAAGAACTTCCTGACCGTTTTTGCGGTTCCTCAGTGGAACAGGCTTCCTCGGGAGGTGGTGGGCTCTCCATCTTGGGAGGTTTCCAAGCAGAGGCTAGATGGCCATCTGACAGCCGTGCTGATTCTATGAACTTAGGCTGATCACGAGAAGGGAGGGCAGGAAGGGTTGCATCAGTGCTTAGTTCTCATGGTCCTTTCTTACACGATCGCCACTTTGGTGTCAGGAAGCTATTGTTCTCCAGGCCAGTTTAGCTGGAGATCTTAGATTATTTTTATTATCTTCTGGGTGTGGAACAGCGGTCACTAGGGGTGTGGAGGGGGAGGTATTTGTGAATTTCCTGCATAGTGCAGGGGGTTGGACTAGATGACCCAGGAGGTCCCTTCCAACTCTACGATTCTATAATGCAAAAGAGCCAACGGTGCAGGAAAATGGCTATTTTTTGTGTGTTTGTAGGATTGAGCAGTGGCTCAAGTGGTTAAGATGCTGAACTGCAGGCTGTGGAAGGTCGGTAGTTCAGCAGTTCGAGACCCGGGTGCCGCATGACAGAGTGAGCTCCCGTCTCTAGTTCCAGCTCCTGCCAACCTAGCAGTTCGAAAGCAAGAAATTGCAAGTAGATAAAT